AATTAGGAACAAACAAATTCATAAAATAAAATAAAAATGTAAGCTCATAGTGTCTGTTTTTCGTTGTCTATACAGCTGTAGTAGTCAAGGGGAGCCGATTTCTTGTTTTTGGATGTTCAAAATTTTCAACCTGTTACAAGTTACAAATAGATTTATTGTTGGCTTTCTCTCTGTTTGCTTTAAAGGCTAACACTGTCCAATTCTAATGGTGCTTTTATTATTTTATTTCTCTAAATTAGAATATATATGTGTGTGTGAATGTGTGGGGGTTACGAAAATTTTTGGAAAAAAAATTTACACGAAGCTAGACTTTCTAAAGATATTAGCTTAATGTGGTGTTTGGTAATAAGAAATAGAATTGTGAAAATATGAATGAAAATTTTAAAGTATCAAATAAAAAAATAACAATAAACAAAAGAGAACTCAAATTAGATAAAAATACATACCTAATAAAAAATAATTACCGCAATGAAGCGTAGATAAATTACGTGACCTCGTGCAATTAATCTTTTATCAATCATTTAATTGTGTGATTATAAATATCCTATTAAATGAGTTAAGATTTACATTCCACGGTTGAAAATTTTTTCCTTGTAATACGTGTCTCGTAATTTGGTAAACAAAAATAAGTAAAAAAATTTAATACCCCTAGCATTGCTAATATAAATAAAAAATACTGCTGCTAAATTGCAAATGAAAATCATTCATCATCATGAAAAGAAATTAATGTAGAAAATTGTAATACTTTTTTTTATGCAAAAGAGTTTTATATATATATATATATATATATATATATATATATGAATTAGAAGATTTAGTTCCCTTCCTATAAGTGAGAGGTCATATAAGACAATTTTATACTACAAGCAAGAATAACAACTCAAAAAAGTAAAAAATTCGGATCATTGTCTTTTGAATTGGAATAATACCTCTAAAGCTATATGTCACCCACATCTTTGGGTGAAGCAAAGCTTTAGTCCCACTTCACCTCAGCCTCTAAGCTTGGTATCTTGTTTTAGTATTTAATATTTTTAGGCGTGGTTTAGTTATAAAAAATATAAAATCCAAATGAAAATTAAAAAATTAAAATTATATTTTTATTCTAATACTGTATTTGAAATAATAATAATAATAAAAATAGAATGTGTTGAACCCATGTATTTTGATGATAACAAACCATGGGTTTGTCTTTGACAAATTTCATAGAGGGTGCAAGATTATCTTTATAAAGGCCGATAAACAGAATTTATGACTGTCAAAATCATAGATCCAGCACAAGCCCATGAGCCTATACAAGAAAATAGAAATGTCCTCTATGCATCAAGGCCCATATATACCTTGATCAAAATGATTATGGATCACGAAGTAAATCAAGCATCTCTCTAACTTAATTCTAGTATGGAAAGAAAATCTTTCTAAGTTTGACAAGAATTGATTCAAGCAATAATCAGACTATCTCCAGCCCATAAAATCTCCTTAAACCTCTTTTCAGACTCCAGCTGATCAAGCCACCATATATGCCAGTTAAACAAATTCCCTTTCAATTTCATCTCGACAAACTTATCAGCCAATTGCCATCCCTCTTTCTTCTATATATAAAACCACCATCACCTTCCTTCTATCATGATCCTTGCAAAAATACAAAAAACTCTCCAAAAACGAAAAGGATGCCCCCAAACACACACAGACTATTTTTACCTTTCGTCTTGGACTGCCCTTTGGACAATAGAATGAACTTTAGAACTTTTAATATCTAATTTTTAAAACAAATAAGACTAGTAATTAAAAAAATAATTTCATTAAGTATGATGATAACAAAAATTATAGAGATGATTGCGGCGGTGGAGGAGAAAAAAAAGTAGTAATGGTAATAATAAGAATAAAATAATAACAATAATACAATTTAAAAAAATTGATGCACAACTTAAGTGGTAGTAAAAAGAGAATGGTGAAGGTAAAGATGGTATAATAAAAAAGATGGTGGTGCTAAAGAAGTAATTGCAAATTAATAATAATAAATTTTTTTGATTTTTTTTTGTGGCAGTAACTAATGGTTGTGGTGGTTATGTTAATGATGGTAAAAGTAATTGATATATAATAAATAAAAATAGTTTGTCATTATTTTAAAGAAAAAAATCTATTTAGAAAAATAAATAATAAAAACACCATTTAAATTGAAACTTCTTTAGCCTGTAAAGCAAAAAGAGAGAAAGCCAACAATAAATCTATTTGTAAATTGTAACAGGTTGAAAAATCTATTTAGAAAACATAAACGGGGATGTCCAAAAGAAAGACTACAGTTGCACAGAGAAAGAAAAGAACACACTATGGGCTTACATTTTTTTTTAAATGAATTTATTTGTTCCTAATTTCTTTTATGGTCTATAAAAAACCCAGCCCATATCCGCTTTGCTTGACCCAACTAAAGCAGCCTACAGAGACTATCCTCGCGATTCAAAACATCTTATTTATTTTTGAGGATATTGAAACTATATATATATATATATATATATCTTATTTATTTTTGAGGATATTGAAACTATATATATATATATAATACCCTAAATGTTTTTCCTCATCTTCTTCAATTGAATATCATTGCTTCCTCTCAATGAAGAACCAAAGAGGGAAAAAATATATACAAACATATTCTGCTATACTTACGTTTTTCTTCGACTGTTGAATCTATGGAAGGGAAAAACTATATACGACTATATTAGACCTATATAATTAATACTAGAAATATTTAGCTGTCCAAGTGGAGAGAAGTAAAGTGGCCAATGGACCAAAAACTAACCATCAAAAGAGCATAAAAATTGCAGCTTAGACTGAGGGATTGTAATAGTTAGTAATATAAAACAATTTAACCTTTTGAATTAAAATTGTTTTTTAATATTGTTTGAGAGTTTTAACCATCAGCGTGAATTCAAATCCTACCTTCTTTTTTTTTTTTTAATTAAAGTAAATTCTAACACAAACCTTTATTAAATTCAATTCAAGTTTTAAATATATACTATCTATGACAATAAAAAAACATGAACATACGGCAATGACTGGATTAGGATGTGACATAATTGCGAGTACCACAAACGGTCTATCATAACAGCACATTGAGTGTGTATTCGGTAAAATATTATGCTTTATTTTATTTTATTTTTTTACTGACATAAATTATATTCTTTTTTTAGTATTTTTTAGATTTTTACAATTTTATGTATAATTATCTAAAAGCATAAGAAAAACAATTAAATATTTTTTCAATCCAAACGTATTTTTTAAATTCAGCTTAAGCTTATTTGGTTTACTAAATGAGTGCTAAAACCAAGGACTAAAAAGCAACGAAACTGAGACTAGTAAAACAAAAAAAGGCGTTGGCATAAGTTATCCCTTAATCAACGATATCCATAACGTACCATTTGTGGAAATACAAACAATTATTACTAGGGAAGAAAGTGCAGAAGCTACGATATTTTTTAGGGGATGTCTCATCATGAAGGCTTCAGCTTCAAACAGTAGAAAGGTAATGTCGGTATTTTAGAAATAAGAGGATATCCATCTATCTATCAAGAAAATGGTTATGTACAGAATCAAAGATATCTAAAACTAAGGAAGGAGAGGATTACGCTATATATAAGTAAAAAAATTGGTCCCACTTTGTTTAAAATTATACGGTACTCGGTTTTTTATGAATTTTTTGTTTAATTTCAAACTTGAATTGTATTACGATTTGATCCAATTTTATTTTAGTGTTTTTTATTAATTATTTTTATGATATCAAATTTATTACTTTAATTTATCATTTTTTAAAATTTTTATTTAATTAATTTAAAATTATATTTACTGATAGTTTTAATTTATTTTAATATTATTTATTTTTTTTTGTTTTAGTGACCTGTTCTATTAATCTAGCAATAATCTTAAAAAGTGATATATTTTCTGTACGCTGGAACCCTAATGTACTCGCACGTGATAGGATTCACATAATCTTGGCAAACACGAACAAAGACATTGCATGAATTGAGAAAAACAAGGGAAGTTGCTGCAAGATTAAAAGGGCTGGATTCTCTATGAAATTCCAGCCAAAACAAGTTGAAGTATAGTTAAAGTCCGGATGCATAAGAATTCGTCGCCATGAGCATGACATAGTTAATTTTTGACCTGGATGATGACACTATTAGTACGTAACTTTATATATTTTTTTAACCGAATATATGAACTTTTAAAATCTTCAATTAAGTATTTTTGTTCAACCTTTATCAATTATTTCATCATCTGATTATGTGTCATTTGACATTTATTAAGAGAAAATTATAATAGTGGTATGTCAACTTTTAATTTTTCTCAATCAAATAGGTAAATTTTTTTTTTCATTTTGATATATTTGCCTTTTTCAATTGTGCTAGTCAAGTACTTTAATAAAAAAAATAGGTTTTTTTTTCATTTATTTTGTTAAAATAATAAATCTTTTAATTGTCTTAATAATTTATTTAGTAGTTTTAATTAATGAATTTACCTCACATTCGGCCTTTATATTATTTGAATTTTTTTAATTGAGACTCTCTACTCTTTTTTTATTTTTTTATTGAATCTTATATTTTTAGAAATTCGTTGATTCAAACCATTATTTAAATTTTCATCATACGTAGCATGTTAAAATTAACGATAATCAATAATGAATAAACACATGACATTCAATCATGAATAAAAACCTGACAATGAGGGTTCTGAGTGTCATATTATACAGCTGATTTTTTTTTTAAAAAAAAAGGTTTTAAAGAATTTTAATATTAAACAAATGTTTAAGTTTTAAAAATAAATGTAAAAAGACCGCATTGCCCCACCCCACCCCTATTATTGCAAAATCCAGTTTTTTTATACACAAACCTGTTCTCTTTCTCTACAAACTCTAAAATCCCTAATTTCAACATTATTCTAAATTTTCATCTCAAAATCTTCACTCAAAACTCCCAATTCAATGACCCATTTTCGCTCTTCAATGAATGCAAAAAAGCGAGCATGCAGTACCTGATAAATACACTTATCAACCGCTTCTTAAGGCTTGTTCTAATGAATTAAAATTGAAAGAAGGTGAAATTGTTTATGGATCAGCAATCTGGTGTGTGGTTAGTGATGATATGCATGTTGATTCTAGGTTGATTGATTTTTATGGTAAATGCAAGGAGTTATTAAGTGCACGTAACGTGTTTGATGAAATATCTGACAGAAATGTGGTTTCTTGGACAGCAATGATTGTTGGATATGCAAATGTTAGGGATTTGAAAAACGCTAAGAGTGTGTTTGAGAGAATGCCAGAGAGGAATTTACGGTCGTGGAATGCAATGATTGGTGGGCCGATCCATGTAGGGGATTTAAGCGGAGCGAGGAAGGTGTTTTATGAAATGGTTGAGAGAAATGTTGTTTCGTTTACAGTTATGATTGATAGGTATGCAAAAGCTGGGGATATGGCGTTTGAGGAAGTTTCAGAAAAAGATATGCAAGGGCTTTGTTTGAGGAAGTTCCATGGTCGGCAATTTGGTCTGTCTTAGAATCTGAAGCCTAATGAGGCTGTGAAGATAATTCCGAATGAATATATAATTGGGGCAATTTGGTCTTCTTGCCTAATTTTTTGATATTAAGTATTATTTAATTATTAAGTAAATCTTTTTTTATTTGAACAGAAATATTGTATTTTGAGAATCATAATATCACGTGCCAATCAATAATTGATTGCTATTAAAGTTAATGTGCTATGTCGGATGAATAGTTACTGAAGTTATAACGAAGGATTTGAAACAACACGTTTCTAAAAACAAATGATTTCAATTAAGTTGAAAAAAAAAAAGATCTAAATAAAAAAATTCAAAACATATAGGGATCAATGTGGAGTAAATCATTTAATTAATAATAAAATAAATTTTAGTCTGGTTGAAGATAACTTATCATTAATTAAAAGAGTTTTTGTTTTTAAAGAATTTATTTTAATTTAAAATATTTTTTCTTTATCAAATACAATAACATTTTGGAGGGTAATTATACTAAATAAAATCCACATTAAAAATAAAAAATTAAAGAAAGTACTTAATTAGCACAATCAGAAAAGTCAGTAAACCAAAATGAGAAAGATCAAAATCAATGTACTCAATTGAGATAAAAAGAAAGTTGGTACGCAAACAACCAGTTAAGGTCAAAGAATGCATTATTCCATAACAAAACAATTGAAAGAAATTAAATAGAAGTACTTGATTTGAAATTTTGAAAAATTCCATGTAATCAACGAAAATTAAATATGTACTCATTTGAGAAAAATTGTAAAGTTGACGTATTAATAATTTAATTATCCCATTTTTAATTTGTTGCATAAAAATCACTGTTTTATTTTGCGTTAATACAATGTTTTTATGTTGATGTTCTAAAAAAAAAGTAAAAAATACATAGAAGTTTATTTTTTAAATTTAAATTAAAAATAAGTTTTATGCTAATTTTTTTAAGATCAACAAGTTTACATTTATGTTTTATCTTCTAAAAAAGTTTAGATTTAATTGTGATACCTATACTTTTTGTATACTTACAAATTTATCAATCAAGTGCCTTTTTTCTTTTTTTTCCTATTTGTAGTTTTCTTTAAAAAAAAAAAAAAACTTTCATAATAATTTTTTTTGAATATCCAATTTCTATCCCTTGTAAAATAATTTATAATTGTAATCTATTTTCTCTATATTACCATTATTAGGAATCTTGAATATATTGAATCCAAATGATGACAATAAAATGAAAAATATAATTCTTCATATTTGTAAATCTTGTTTTCTAAAATAAAAAGTTTAATTATCATCAGCATAATGAGGTGTCTTAAACCCTTTCTAAGAATTATAGCAATTAACAAGAATAAAATATTACGATATTAAAGCTTCAATTAAAAAATCTGAAAAAAAAATTTTTACAAAAAATCATTAAAAAATATAAATTAAAAACGTTACAAAACTTCTTGTAAAGTACTTTCTAAGAAAACAAATGAAACATTTTTCAAATGCATTTTAGGGATTTAATAAAGAAAGAATTTAAAGCTGTCTTAGGAGTAGCTGCCAGATAAAATCCGAAAAAAAAAAAAAAAAAGCCTCGTCTGGTCTAAACATAGATGATCAGCATAACTAAGAACGGATTCAAAGTTGGCAAAACTTGAGACAGGGAATGAAAGGAAAGCAGGCAAAGAGTAGCCTGCCCCTCGAAACCCCCCAAAAGACAGGAAAAAAAATTCTTACTAATGATGTCCATAACTATAATACAACTCAATGGTGACAGATCAGAACATTCATTGATAAACGTAAATGGACAACGAAGCTAATCATTTCCATTGCACTAATTAATTGACTTTGCCTAAACAAATTCTACTCCAGAAAACAACCATCAAAATTCTGGTCCAAGAAATACTAACTTCCAAAGAGAAGATGAAGAAAAAACACTATATACCAACACCATACAAATAGCCAAGATACATTTGTGAGCCAGTGCTGGAAGGAGTATATTAACTTATGCTAAAAATGAGGTTCAGTGCCTCCTCCATTATTCCCATTCCACCGTCAAAGCCATTACCGGAGAGCATTCACGAAAGTCGTCAACGAATCTACATCCCTCTTCTCGGAGGGGTACTTGATAGGTCGAGATGAGTGTTTAGGGAAGAAAAGGATTGTAGGAAAGCTTCCTAGCTGCAATTCTTGCTTTGAGAATTCCTTCTGATCACCGTCTGCCCTGAATTTTCCCACTTTCACTCCACTCCCTGCTAACTTATCAGCCAATTCAACATAGGATGCTTCCATACCCTGGCAAAATTGGCACCATGGAGCATAGAGCACCACAAGCCATGGTTCCTTTCGGTTCTCCAATCTCAACAAGTTCTCAATTCCAGGCCTGCTCAAGTTAACCAAATTCTCAGAGTTGAAAATATCAGCTACTGTGGCAGTCCCATTTGGCCGGGCAGACCCGTTTCCATTGCCATTAAGTTGGGCTGCATTATCCTGTTTCAGATTTCCTTTATGAAGACCACATTCCTTAGCTTTGGCATCCTCCCACCACCACCTTCCTTCTCGCTCATGTTGGCCAGGAAGAACTGGCCTTGTGCAAGGCTCACAACCAATAGAGATGTATCCCTGTGAATGCAAAAAGTTCACAGGCACATCCATGGTTCGAAGGAACTTCCACACATCTTGTCCGTCAACGTTTGCCAATGGATTCCACTTGATCAGGCTTCCAGCCCCGCCATCCAATCCCTCAAAAACTGGGTCCACCTGTACAACTGGAATTTCAGACCTAGTTCCTGGAGATTGATCCTTTCTTTGGCCAGTGATCCAGGCACGAAGCCCCTTGAGAGCCCTCCTCAGGGGTCTCACCTTCCTGATGCGGCAGCACTCCTGGTGCCCATCCTCATAGAAAGAAAATAGACCCTTGTTTCTTACCAATGCTTGAACTTCAACAGCATCCGGAAACATGTACTCAATCCGAATGCCATAGTGCTTCTCAACTTGGTCAAAGAACTGGTAGGTTTCTGGATTCAACCTCCCAGTGTCCAGGCTGAACACCCTGAATGGTCGCCCGGTCAACTTAGCATACTCAATCAAAGCAACATCTTCAGCACCACTGCATGACAATAAAACTAGGTAACGACAACTATTTCAAATTCTAATTCTTGACAACAAAGTCAGAATCTAATTAACCACTTAACAACCATTAAATTCAATGCAAAATCCAGAGGACATTTACAGATTTATATTAGTTTGGCATTATAGAGCAGAGTAGCAGAAATGATAGTATTCCTATCTAAGGTGGGATCTAGAAGGCCTGTTTCTAAATAGTAGGAGATAGGGTAATGTCATAATCGGGCATAAGCAGAAGAGCAGGTTGAATCTCAAATTCTGTGTGTCATACCAAAGGGTCCCAGTTAAATTACTTGTGTCGATGAACACTCCAAGACAAATCAATTTCTATCTCATCTGAATTTAAGTAACAGCAACTAAAAGATGTTTCAACCTAATGAAAATTTGAAAATTTACCCCTTCAGTTGACCTAATAAGACAATAACAAAGATCCACCACAGAAAAGGAATATTCTAGTACAATAATTGCACATCCACAATTGTCATGTTCAACAACTCGCCGATAATCAAAACCAGAAAAATCCAACATTAATATAGTCATCAAATTAAAAAATAATGCTACAAACATCAAATTTTTACAAAATTAATTACCTGAAAGCAATAGCAATATCATCCCCAAATTTCTCAAGTGCCTTGTCCATAATTTCCAAAGGAGAACCATTTGCAAGATCCTTAGCCAAATTCTCAAAATCTTCCTCCACCTCTACTTTCTCTGCAACCTCTGCAAATCCCGAACAAAAAAAAAAAATGAAAACGCGTTAGTCACATCATCAGGCCAGCTTTCTCGCAACGAGATAAAAAACTCAGACAAAAAACAAAAACACACCTGGAGCAGCAATAGTTGTAGCAAGAGGAACAATAGAATCATTCCTTCTAGGCTCAGCATTTACTGGCTTTACAGCACAACGTCTTTGTGAAGAAACATTAACAAAGGTTGTCGGCCGATCTAACAGCTTAAAAGAACCAAATTGGGGTGCTGAAAACATCAAAACCAAAAAAAAATCAAACCAATTTCTTAAAATCAAAGGAAAAAAACAAAACCCCACAAGAAGTCTTTTTAAAAAAAGTACAGAAAAATAAGGGAAAAAACTTCCACTACCTTTGAGTTCTTGACTACAACGTGAAAGCCCAGAAGCAGAGATCGAAGAAGAAGAACTAACACTCAATGCCATAATCAAAATTATCAAAAAAGATGAAAACTTTCTGCAATTTTACTGAAAATTTTAGAGCTTTTTTCTCTTTCCGTGTGGAGTCTGTAGGACAGAAGTACTAGAGAGGGGCACTAAATAATGACCGAAGAAATGGCGAGTTCTAAGGTTCATTGAACCTAGACGTGATTTTGGATCAGTTAAGATTCTGACATGGCAAGTTTTGATTGGGTCGACGTTGTCGCTTTGGCTCATGGCTTATGTCATGAGGCGGGCTTCAAATGAGACCTGGAAAGAGAGAAGGCTGTTATAAAACTTCTCGGTCATTTCCTTCTCTTTATCTAAGCCAATTTCTTTCTTTTTTTTCTTTTTTTTTTTTTAGTGAAAGGTTCTAACCACTCATAAATTTTAAGTAATTTAAATTTGAGTTCTTAAATTTTTTTATTAGGTTAAAAATCCTTAACCTTTTAATTTTTTAAATTTATCCTACCATTTAGTTTTCCATCTAGTTATGGATTTTTTTTAAATAAAAGATTTAATATTTTCTAATGCTTGTGTAAAATTTCAACTCAAAATACTACAAGGTAAATTTTTTTTAGAGGAGAAAATGGTAAATGCAAATCATTAAATGGATTAAATTTCAAAAAATTAAAAATTTAGGAATCTCCAAAACTAATAAAAAATTCAAACACTCAACCTCAAAGAATTTAAAATCTAGAAGTGGTTAGATCTTGTAATCCACAGTCAGTAA